CACACACACACACACACACACACACACACACACACACACACACACACGGCTTACCATTGGTTGGCTAAGAGGACCAGCAGATTTCTCAGAGGCCAGCCCGGATGTTGAGACAGAGTACACGGATCATAGACTCCCACAGTAACCTATAAAAACCAAACAAGGTGTGTTTACATTACCAAAGTGTGTGTGTGTTCTTCAAGAGGGACTGTAATAGTAATAAAAATAGATATAATCTGATAGAGATAAGACACAAAAAGTACTGTCCTGCACTGTGTGTACTGAACAATCCCTTTTATTGGATTCAATCAAACTATTCTCACGGAAAATAGTTTCCATCTGTTGCTTTCTTTAAATGATTTCTTTAAACACACAAAACAAACTGAAGAATACCTTCTTTGTGTCAGTGATAAACGTGTCCCAGTCCTCGAGCGGAGCCATCTGAACGGTGTCAGTTGTGTACTTCATTAGGAAGTAAGGCTCAGCAGTGGTCCCTCTTTTGATACAAAGGACGTCATAGGCCTCCTGCAAGGCTGTGATCTGAGACAGAAATAATTAGGAGTCAGCATGAATTATAGAAAGCTCTGTGCTATACATTACACCACCCACCATATTTTATATATATATATATATATATATATATAGATAGATAGATAGATAGATAGATAGATAGATAGATAGATAGATAGATCTATATATATATATATATATATATATATATAGATAGATATAGATAGATATAGATAGAGAGAGTTTTTAAAGGGTAATCATGAATAATATCTATCCATCCATGTATCCATCCTGAAAAAAGCAAGGTGCCCAGGACTCCCTGATCAGATGCCCAAAACCAACTCAACTGGATCCTCAGGACGCAAAGGAGCAACTCCTTCCTGACACATATACATTACATTAACTTATAATGTATTATTGTATGGGAACACAAGAGGTTATCTGAAGCACAACATCTGCAATTGCTGAAATACTTACTGTAAATATAACTTAAGACCAAGGACGAAAGGATATTATAGCTCATTCCAAGGATAACTCCTTATCATTATGATTATGAACATATACACTGTGGTAAATGCTTAGTGTGTCTACTCATTTATATTCTTGTCAGACTCTTGCAGTTGGCATCACGCTGTTCATGAGTCATTCTGACACTTTTTTAATGAGGCTTTGTCGCTGCTTGTATCCACTGACCTGAGAAATAAGAATTCAGCTCACTTCATTTTACTATTCTATAACATAGACAGTATTAGACCGAACGGACAGATTCAAAGCCTGCTGTTGGGAGCTGCATCCATCTCATCTTCAAAGAGGTTAGGAATGTTACGACGATCTTCGGAAAGAGGAAACTTAAATGGCAAAAATGGGAATAATATTCACATTTTTAGGTCAACTTCTGTCATAGAAACAGAACACTAATCAGTAGTTCAACTGTACATTTTATGTCTAGAATTTGTTATGAGCATCAACATTTGGGGGATACGAGTGTGTTGCGTTGAACTACACCTGAAGACTTCAAAACATTTAGAAAAGAGGAAGAAATACGGTAATACTAGAAAATATTCATTCATGTAATGATCTTTAAAAAGACCAACCTGTTTTGCTGAGAAAACTTGCTCTAGTGTAGACGGCTGTTGGATGATCTTTATTCCCTCTGGGAAACAGAGTGCAGGGAAGCAGAACCAGTAGTAGAAATGGTACTTCTTCAAATCCTGAAAAAGGAATGTAAAAAAAACAGTCACACACAACATTATTAATATACAAAACTAACACATTTATAAGATGCTGTTTATACGCACTGCAAAAGTCAGCAGAATGAATCTGCAGAGGATGGATGGGTCCTTTAATGCTGCTCCAGACTGTATAGAATCCCATATCTACAAGACAACAGGAGAGGAAAAATCACAGTCATTAGATCATTTAATCCTCAGCTGCACAACTTAGTAACTTGCTGTCTAATTTAAGGAATTTCCCGACCATATGTCTCATGTGAATATGTGTGTGACCGAGAAGATTCCTACAGCATGAGTTTTACCTCCTTGGCCTCTTTCTCCAGCAGAGCCTTCTTATCAGTGGTCTTAAAGGCATCGAGGGTGTTGGTGTTATACAGCGTTCCAGTAGCTGGACAGCAACGGGCTGGTGTCGGTGCATCGCTGACAGCAAAACACATCGTACATTTGTATTAAATTGTACTGTCGGACTGTACTTGTTTCTTTTCAATGTGCATCAATTTGCATTATTGAAGGCTTCCACATAACAGGAAAGTGAGAGCTGATCCAAATTTAGGTCAACCCTACACTGAGCTGGCTGATAATCTTTAAAGAAAGTTCATCCTTTCATTATTCCATAGCAATGAAAACATTTCTAAACACTTTTTTACAACATGGACAACCAGTCGTACCTTTCATTCATTACTTGTGTATTGTCTATTGTACTAAAAGACTTCTCAATCAATTTGAGAGTGGTATCAGGTTCCATATTGTTTGTCTGTTGGTGGTTGAACCCTTTCATCTACATTAGTACTATTCATTGCTTTTTTGAAGACTAAATGACATGAGGAGAACCTAGGGTTAAAATATGGTTTATACAGGCAACATAGTGCGTCAAACTTACACTTCAAATGCACTGAACTCCAACGTCAGGCGAGTGGGTAAACCAAGTGGGTCGCCTACAGGACAAGAATGAAGAATAAAAGAGTTTTTGAAATCCCAACAAATTGGCCTTCACTATTTTCATATATGTGACACTGCATAATTAACTTTAGTATCATATAACGTCTAGGACTGTCAAAAGAGCGAAAAAACCATCTGATCTCACCACTCACCGTTGTAGTAATACCCTTTAATAGATTTGGGGCTTTCGTCCAATCTGTAGTCGTTGAGTTTCTTCTGAGTGAGCTGATGCCAGAAGCCGGCCTCCAGAGCACTGCTGAAGGGAGCAAACTGCAGCTTGAGGTCTGGAGGGGAGGATGCCGCTTCACTGGTGTCAGATGCCATTACAACTTCACTAACAGGATGCGCTGCCAAGAACTGGAAGATGTGAAATTAAACAGTTGTAGGTCACAAAAGCTTATCACGTACAATAGTTAAGAATACATTAGAACTTATTAGCTGCTGCGCTTGTGACCTCTGATGGTGCTGTTTGATACACAACCCAGTAAACAGTAAAGGTATACACTTATTCAGAGAAACTAGTGAGACAGTTCACCAATACGTCCATTAGTAAAGCACAAAACAAATAAGATGCATCAACCTGTGCAGTGGTTATGGGAAAGTGAGTCTGCTTATAGCGTGCATCTCTAAACATCTTCGGCAAAATACAATAATGTTTAAAACATTCACAAAACGATTAAGATATAGGGTGTCATATGTTGTACAAATGGCAAAGCCTTTTACAGCAAAGTTGTGATTCATGCAAATAAAACTGACTTGATTTAACAAACTGTATAATAACATAAGTCAACCCTAAACATGGCTATCTTTATACTGTAATTATGCTGGTGCATTTGTTTAGGCTCTGTGGTAACTAGTGATGAGCATTTATTACCTTTCCAGAATACATTACTAATAGATTAATCTCATAATTTATATATAGATTAATCTGGATCCTCTGAACACATCTAATTGTCATATATTTTGATAATTTGTTGGCTAATTCCACTGTTTATATGATCACAAGATGCTAACTGAAGCCCTGCTAGTCTTGTGTTGTTTTAAATATTTCTTAGCACCAAGACCTCTAACCCTGGAACACTTTAATCGTCTCCTTCAGGACTTTTGAGGTTCATCTGTAAATTAACGCATGTTCTAAATCCATGTTCACTTGATCAGGACTTTTACACGTTTAACGCAGACCACACAGTGGAAGCAGTAGCTTTGACAGTTTAAACTATCGGGTTTTAAACACGACGAGCATCTCCGACGAAATAATTCAAATGATAAAGCTTTATTTCAAACCAGATTAAATCTGGGATCACGTTAAATACATATTCCTCCTTCAAACTGTAACAAGCTGAGGGTTGTAGTTACGTGGATGTTTAAGGGTTTGTGGACTTACCAGAAATCCTTACTTCCTGGTCTGGTGGGTCATGTGATCCCGGGACTTGTCAACACAGCAGTGCAGTGTGGGTAAATAGCCAGCCAGGTTAGCTTAGCAGCTAAAGAAACCTATGTCTTACGGTGCGCGTGTCAGAGAGTAAAATATAAAGAACCAAAACAAAAACAAGAACAAGCTAACGACGAAGAACGACAAAACTGACAAAACTTTATACGTGCCGTTTCTTTTCATGACGGATTGCACGGATTTGTAGAGGGGTGCGAGCCTGCGAGGAGTAAGTGTCAGTTTGTAAACGTTAACGTTAAATCCGTAGAACCGGTTTAACGAGGTTCAGCAGGCCACGTCACAAACGAAACATCATTGTTCTCAAGCAGGAAGAAGTCCACATTGTCTGAAATAAAGGCAAAGGAGCTACGAGTTCATATTCATCCGAATGGTTACCGGGAAATCAAAAATTAGCTTCGCCTGGACGCCGGAGTTAGTTAGGGGCCGTCTACAAACTACACTACTGCTGGAACAAGAGAAAGTTTGAAGTCTTGTATACAGTCTATCATGGAAGTTAGAAGTTTTTTTTTATTGCACATTATTGTTGAATAAAAACGATCTTATTTTTCCACACTACCAATAACAACATAACAGTGTCATGAAATAACAAACAATGGGCAAGGTAGATACAAAGCAAGACTAATGTTAAAAAACATATATAACAATGTGTAAAACATACAGGTTACAGGATTTTATCGTCAATTCTTCATCCCACACTATCATCCTCCCCTCCCTCAGTCCCCTTGCATGTATCAAGCCTAATGTCCCATACTGTAGCACCATACTATACCATGTTGCAATTGATACTCTGTTATACTGATGAATTATACTGTATTATGTTATACTATATTATTATTAGGCTACATTGCACCTTATACTACATCTTGTACCTCATACTCTTGTATACTATAATGTACTGTGTCATACTACACTATGTTATGCAGATACTGTCTTATATGTCATACTATACTATGTTATGCAGATACTGTCTTACAGAGCCATATACTATATTATATTTCTAAGTGTAATTACCGAACCACAGTATATATTATCCTGGTGTATACTTTTTTCATATATACTAGACCCACAGCTATTATTCATATCATGTCACATTACTTGGTAACTTGTCACTTACCTCCGCAACTTTGTGTTTAATTGCTCTTGTGTAGTTCAGTCTTGTATAGTGCATTCTTATATAGTTTGTGCATAATTTCTACTGTTATATTAGTTTTATATACCACTTTATTTATTGTTCTTATTTTTTATTTTTACTTCATTTTTTTATTTTTGTACTTAGTGCCTCTGGGGATTAATAAAGGCTTATCTTGTCTTTTTGCAATCTTGAATGTAAGCTTCTCCAAATGGAGGATTTATTGACACATGTCACGTGAAGACAGCATCAGACTTCCATAAACGCAAATTTTTCGGCCAATTCAGTACCAACATGAAACACTCAATGATACAAGGGAACATTACTGATAATGTGTTCTGGGCCCAACTGTCCCAAAATTCTACAACCTAAACCAAACCAAGATACACCCCACACAAGCCGGAAAACCCCCACTTGTCAATCGTCAACCACTCAAAACAAGGTTAATTTCCTTGAAGTGCTCACCATCTTGGCACAAACAACAGACAAACATGTCCTGTGTTTTTTGATTCTGACCATCTGGACTCGTCCAGTGACTGCTGTGAAAGGACAGCTGACAACATGGGAAAGACCGAGTGACAGCTTGGAGAGACAGCTGACGGGAGGGAACATACCCCGATGGGGTCGTCATGGGCAGCTACCCATGGCAGCAGTCCCCAACGCTGGTTCAGTTAGTTGGAGACACCCGCTAAATGCTACGACAAGTAAACAAATGAACATACCCCTAGAGCATGCGAGAGCGGGGGGCGCAAGATGGCTCACAGACTGACAACACGGTAACAGACCCAGGAACGGAAACGACTATGCACAAAGAGCACGGCACATGAAACAACCACAACAGTAGCAGGACACAGCTTCAGGTGTGCATTTGTGGTTGGGAGAAAGTAACATCAGCAATAGACCTGAAGATCCACCAAGGGAGGAAAAAGTGCTTGAGAGAGCAGAGACATGGGCCTCGCATTGACCAGTACGTCTTACGAAGCAACCAGTCAAATCAGTCGAATGAAGCACAGCGACGGGACACAAACCAAAGTTCGCAGAGCATCAGCACCCCTGTCACTGAGGAGGGAAATACAAGCACAGAAATGCCGGTGGAGTGGCCCACCCAACCACAGAGACCTCCAACGGAGAAAAAGATCAAAGGGCACAAACCTGGTGTGAAGTGGCCCAAAGCTATTGAAAAGAAAGTGGGAAACCATCAACAATGATCTATCCAAAATTTTGGAGCAGCAAGTGGGCACTACAACTAGAAAGCTAGAAAAGATGGGCGACATTATCTATAACTATGGAGAGGAGCGCATTGGAGTGAGCAAAGTGAGAAGCAGAAAAATAGTACCGTGCACCAGCCAAGTCCAGGAGACAGCAAGAAATGGACAGGCTAGTCAGAGAAAGGAGACAGATGAAAAAGCTGTGGAAGAAAGCCTCTGACACAGAGAGAGAAGGCCTTGAACAACTGCAAGCGGACATCAAGAGCCGACTGGCAACTTTGCGAAGAGCAGAGAACTTGAGGAAACTCGTCAACCACTCAATACAAGGTTAATTTCCTGGAAGTACTCACCATCTTGGCACAAAGGACAGACAAACATCATGTCCTGTGTTTTTTGATTCCAAGATACCTGCTTTTTTAAACCATATGGATAAGGGCACCAACATAGACTCCATAATAAACCATGGCTAATTTTGGAAACATGGAGGTCGTGAGATTTCTAACAAAACATCTCTTATTCATTATGTTGGAATATAACTGTTCAGTTTGTTTCTGCTTTAAATTAAGGCCTCGAATGCTGTTCCAAAGGGTTAGGGCTAACTTTGCATCTTACAATTTAAGCGTAGGCATACTTTTGAGTGGCAGGTGAAATTATGGATTATTGTTGTGAAATGACAGAACAAAGTGCTTAGGAATAGATTTACTACTCAAAGTGAGCCTTACGTAGGCATATGGGAACTACTTTTCAATCAGCTTGATTGTGGTGCTCTTGACACAAGCTTGATGTTGACGCTGTTGTTTTACACGTCACACTAGCATGAGTGAATCCACGACTCGCAGTTAATACAGAAGTTAGCATGCTATAGCGGTTGCAATGGCAACAGTACACATAGAAATGGCCGCTTGATGACTATCCCATTAGATTGATTTGAATGGGAATGTCTGTTCTACTCATATTCTACTTTTTCCCATAGTTGAAATGATCTAATGGTTTGTGGGGGGAGCCAACACTCAATTCAAATTTGAGGATATAAAGACTGAAGGTGAATGGTGTTGTAGATATATTTGAGAAAAAAAAATGTAATTTGTGATTTTGGGCCATATGAATAAACTTAACTGCAATGTATTGACGGAACCCAGCAATGCATTAAGAAATAAAGGTATATGTAGCCAAGGCTGAATTACCAATTACCAAGGTGGGCAACCTCCCAGATGCCATAATCATATTGTCCTATTTGGAAGACGTCAAAATCTAGTTCAGCATACAATGAAGCTGCCATCTGTTGTGTGAAATAGATGAGAATTTAGCTGCCTAAGGGGCTCAACATCAAATTGTTCCCCAGGGCCCCCAGACAGGTTAATTCCGCCATGTATGAAGCATTGTTCATGTACATAATAGAGTAAATTCAACCACCGAAAGTATATGCCCATTTAGTATTGCCACATTTAGATTAGTAGAGTAGATGACTATTATCCCTCAAATCAGAGATGTGCTCTGGTAGTCATAACCAGGAGCATTATTCAAAACAAAAGTGACCATTAGAGTGCTAGACCAAGACCTTTACTCTCTGTTGCCAGTAACTCTGAATGAATAAAATGGGCAGTTCAAATTTATCCTGACAGAAATATCCATATAATGAACATCAAATCATTCAGTGGCCACATGATGTGATCACTGTGGGACAGAATGTTAAGATACCTCAGTGGAAGATGACGATTGTATTTTCAGACCATTCTCCCCTCAAAAAAGTCTGTATAGGGCGACCCATATATACGTTTGCTTTTAGGTCGCCACTTCTAGTGGTCGTAGTAATTATGACAGAAGGAAGTCAGGTGATGTAGTATAAAGAGCAACAAGGTCGACGCACGGAGGAGGCCGGGGTGGACAGATGGGTCACACAGGTGTTAGAAATGCTCCTAATTTTTATGATGAAAATACTTTACCAAAGTTAACAGTACAAATGCTACTACAGTCCCCAGCAGGAGGATTGTGTCTTTTCATCGTTGTCACCTTTTACACCAATGATGAGTTTACATCTGAAACATCATAGTTTTTCCTGAATACCAGCCTGACACTAGCTCCATGTTTGTGACTGAGGTGTAATGTAAAGATGGCGGGAGTGCAATCACACTTCTTCCAGCTCAGTTCCACCCACCACTGATTTATTTGATTTGGCTAAGCAGTGACTCAGAACCCGTCTGTGTTCACTGGACACAGGAAACATTATGTCTCTAGATTTTGTTGCAGTCATCGCATTATTCAGTGAAATACAATAATGGACCCTTGATGTGAGGAACCTTTTGAAAATCTGAGCACTGATTTGACAGTGGTTACATGTTAATCGTAGAACCACTTAACTGTGTTTTTCACAACAGGATTGCAGGCATAATTGTACTTCAATGCTTCGTCTCTAGAGCCTGAAGGAGGCACTTTGTGTGTTTTTCCCAAATATTTATTGAATACAAAGGCACTTACATGAGCCTCAAATTAACGGTTGCTTTTCCACTGCATTGTGAAATAAATATTATTTGGTGTTCTTTGGCTACGATGACACAATGGGAGTCGTGAGGCATGAGCTACATCACATCATGAAATAGATGAGTGTCATCAAGTGCAAATGGTTGCCGTGCAAACACATCACTGTTTTTGTTGAAAGTGTGATTACTTGTGATTCATATAAGTATATATTGTATTTGCTGATACACTCACCTATTCAACTCGAGGATAGTGAAGAGTTGACAAAGCACAAACAAAAAAGACCAGAATATTTCTACAGATTATTATTAAGATGGTGATCTTAATGTGTTAAAACAATGCGTATTTTGAAACCTTGCATGTTTAGAAACTGTCAAAAGGATGAAATAAAGTAACAACCAAACGAACAGATCCCCTTGGGTAACAGCTCAGCAGACGCTTTGATTTGTGTTTTTTTTCTTACTCATGCTCCACATCCTGGTCTAATGATGAGAAAAACAAAGTGACAAATGCACGTTTGTAAAAATGTTAGATTTATTGTATTATGTTACATCTCTGGTTCTGTACATTGATGGTGCAAAAATGAATACAAATAAATAGGATATTCTTTAAAAACACATTTTGGGACATAGTTTTCCTCCGCTCTGGACCAGAGCCAATATAGAGTCATGCTCCTCTTTATGAGGGTGAGAGATTACATTCTTTTGGTGTCTGGTCTGAGGAATAACATAGACAGAATAAATAACATTGAAGTTCGAACTGCTCCCTCAACTGTTGCCATGAGTCTAAATCGAAGGCCAGTAAGTTACAAAAATAAGATTTAGCACAAACCGAAGTAACTGACGTTCAAAATACATTTACAGTTTTATCTACACTTAAAAAGCTCACCTATGCGAGGGTGTTGAAGACATTTAATTGATGCAACAGATGTTCCCTTCTTATCTGTCAATATCAGCACCATTTAGACACCTATGATTGTGTTCTGCTTCTTTGCTCTGCCTGTCACAAATGAATGTTAAGAATATTTTTGAAGACTCGTTTGAAGTTCCCGTTGCAGAGCGGGTAAATAAAAGGGTTGAGAGTTGAGTTGATGTAACCTAACCATATGGTGAACATGTGAAGGTCGTGGTGCACGCACTCTTTGCAGAACGCCATGACCATGAAAGTTATGAAGTATGGTATCCAACACAACAAGAAAGCAGCGATTATAAAGCCCAGCTGCTTGGCTGCCTTGTGCTCTTTGTGGATCCTCAGGCTTTGGATGCGCTGACGTGATTGGTTGATAAATCTTTGCCACGTCTGTCTCAGAGTCACTGCATTAGCTGGGTTCAATTCTGCATCTTCGACCCCTTCCTCAGTCCAGGGCGGAGGCTGACTGGGGTCGTAGTTGTTGTAGAGCACAGAAGTGTATCTCTGCACGTCTGAAACCTGACCGATATCACAGACACCACTCACTGACTTTGGCACTGTGACGTGACATTCGTTTAAAGACGCTTGAAGTTTGTTCTCATTATTCCCCTCTGAGCAAATTACGTCCTGTGGCACCGAAGATCGAAGACTCAGGGGAATCTCAACGTCTGGCTGCGTCTCCTCAGGAGACAACGTGCACCTTTTGACCTTTTTTGTCATCCTGAGGCGCTTTGTTGTAATGGCAAGCAATGACTTCTGCTGGCACTTGACTCCAATTTTTCTGTGAGATCTGGATGAAGCAGTTTTAGATTTATCGGAATCCTCAAGCGAATATGGCTGATCTAAAGTGTTCTGGTCCAACAAGCGGTTATTTTTAGATAGTGTTATTGGACCTTCAAAATCCCTCTTGGGTGATTTGGAGTCATTTTTCTCTGGCGTTTGGGCATTTTCCCCAAATGAGTCGGTGGGATGAATGATTCTCTCTCTGTCCCTGAGATGTTGCCTTACTGCCAAGTAGATGTGCGTGTAAAACCACAGCATCAAAATTGAAGGTACATAGAAGTTGAAGACGGCAGTAATAACCTTAAACCACGTGACAAAGCGGAAATCAGTGTCACACTTGTTTTCCTCCTCAGGTTTAAGGTCTACATGAGTAAAAGACCTCCATCCTAAAATTGGAATAATCCACATCATTGACAGCAGCCAGGCTCCAGAAATCATCACACTGGCCTTTCCGCGTGTTCGATACTTTAGGTACTTAAACGGCTGTCTGACAGAGCGGTACCGATCCAAACACAGGATAAACAAGCTGAAAATTGAGGCCGTGCTTGCCACGTAGTCCATGATGAGCCAAAATTGGCAGACAGCCCGTCCCAGTTTCCATTCGTCCTCCAACAAATACACCAGGTTTAGAGGCATAACAGTGGTCCCCACGATCAGATCTGCCACTGACAGGCTGACAATGTAGAGGTTCCCGACGGTGTGGAGGCTCTTCTCTCTCTTCACGGCGTAGAGGACCAGCAGGTTCATCATGATCGTGAGGAGAGAAAGGAATCCCAGGCAGACCCCCAGCAGGGCGTTGTGGAAGTGGCCGTGGAGGGTCAGCGTGTCATTGCTTCTCAGTGAGTCAGCATCGAGGAGGCCGCCCCAGCTGTTGTTGCTGTCATTGATAAAGTTGTTGGTGTTGAGGTGAAGAGGGTCTGAGGAAGGTGACAGACCAGATTCCATCATGGAAGGTGTGATGGTCACCTCTAGAGCCAGTCATATCATGGACAGTGTATCTTCTGTCGGCCAAAATATGTATGAAGCAGTAGGTTTAAATGAGGTGAGGGACGTGTATTTACACAGTTTGGATCCAACACTTGTATGGCATAACAACCAGTGCACCTTTATGTTACAAAATTACTCCTTTAAATACTGGAAAAGGTGTTCATCCATGTTGTCTTGATCGGCAGTCCATTTTTTCATATAAATCCAAACTGTTCAACACCTGGAAAAGAAAAGAAAAAACATTATAATGTGTTACGTAGTTTCATCCCCCCTACATTTAACTCACTCATCACTCAAAAATGTGTTTTACTTATATTTGTTACTTTAATGTCTGAACTTCACTATGCAGAATGATTTGAGTACAGACACTAGAAGACTTTTCACATTCATCTTAAATCTGAGTTCAAAAAATGTACATGACAATTTTGTGACCGATATGTTTGGAGGCCAATCACGGCCCAATATTCAACTCACACAAGTGTGATGTGGAAACTGGAGACCTTCAGTGCACATACACTGAGAATGGACTTTTCAGTGAAATTGGAGACATCTCGTGTCCAACAGCTAAAGTTTTGACATGAAAACTATTTGTGTAGATTCTGGATATTTCAATGAGGAAGAAAGATGTAACTCTGGTGGAACAAGTATCAGACCTTTCACTGAAGTAAAACTACAGATACATGAATTCAAAATCGGATGTAAATCTTTTTAATTGGATGTACAGTACAAGCTAAAGTCCCTCTAGCTCTTTCGCTGTCCAGCTAGCTGCCTTTCTCACACAAAGAGGATGTTGCCAAATCCCATCAATGACACAGCAGCAGACAAAGTGATTGGAGGAAAGGAGGCAATGAAATGCTGCTGGTGTTTAGAATCTGGTTTGAATCAGCAAAGCACAGCTAGATGTCTCCTATGAAAAATATATCAATATGCTGCTGGAAAATCGTATCACTTGTCTCGGCTGTTTGATTTTTTTTAAAGAGAAGACTAAAATAAGCCCGTTGCCATGGAGGCAGGGTGGCGTTTCTGTAGATGTAATGAATCTGTGAATTGAAATATTCATTCAGCCTTTATTCTTCTACTCAAACCAAAGTCTGAGACTAAACATTGCATAGTTTTCTTATTTTGTATTATCCAACATAAGATAATTATTGTTATTTTGCTAATAAGACCATCACATTAATATTGACTTTAAAAGTAACTTTAAAAAAACAGCTCGTCTGGGTAAAAGCCACCCTGCTAAATGAATAAAAGAAATAAAGAAGAAATTAAGAAACTTTAAGAATATGGACGTGAGGTTTGCTTGTCACCAACAAGAAAAAAATGATCTAAATCTTAATAATTCAAGTCGGAGAGAGGGAGGAAGGAAACTCGTGTAGCTCATTGATCATGCAGAAATCATTTAGAAACATCTATTTTCCTCCTTATTTATCCAGCGGATGTGACTATATCTTTTTTTAGCTGTATCTCCGTATTTCAGTGCATGCTTACTCACAGATGACACTCAGCAGGAGGAAGAAGAAAAACCACCAAGCTCACAAGTGCTTTCTGTGGGGGGGGGGGGGGGAAACACTCAGGTTTTTTGTAGAGTATCTGCAGAAAAATGACTCATTCAAACTGGTTTGGATATATTTCTACAAATATGGATATATTTTTATATTAAATGGGTCAACATTGGAAGAAGAATGTCTTAGCTCTCATCAGTCCCCGTGTTTAAATATTGACATATGGCACTATCCTGTGGATAAGGTATGATGGATGTTAATGTCTCCAATGCCTGCCAGGTTTAATTTGATCAGGTGGAGACACTGACAGGAGCATATTACAACAGTCAAAGCTTCAAATTGGGGATACAGTCGGTTTTATGTCACATTTTGAACCAATTAAGGTGAAGGGAAAACTAAAACACCTGAACACACAGTATTGTGAATCTATACTTCATATTTTGAGCCTCACATAAGACACTTTAATTGAAGCCACTCAATTATATAGGCTCTCTGATGATTCATCATTCGCTTCCATAAATCTCTGTGGCTGTAAAGGTGTAACTGTAGCGAAACATTTTTTTCTCACTGGGTTCCTATCTTCTGTGTTTACACAATAGCTGCCTCTGCAACACAAATATTTAGGAACCGTATATTACTCACCGAATTCTTAAAGGATAACAAAATCCAAAAAGGAGAAGAAAAAAACATCCACAGAACCGCTGCGTGTTTTCTGTATTTGAGCAGCGCACTCCTTATCGCAGCAGAAAAGGACAGGATATTTATCCAACGCTAATTGTTCAACAAGATTATCTGTAATGACCGCTGCTTGTCTGATTTCATAACAAAAGTGCGGGAACACAGATTCATCTTTTTGAGACCTGATGGAGCCTATTCATCGAAGTGAATAATGGCTCGCGTGTTAAACGCTTCAAGTCGTTGCGCACCACCTGTTGAGCCGCTGCATGAAACTTTTAGGCTCTCAGCGCAACAGTAAAACACATGCTCATTTAGCAAAAGGTGGATAATGAAATTGCCATTGTCGTAAACTAAAGTTAACGCAATATGGTGTAGATAGTTTCTGGACTTACCAACCAATGATGTAGCCTACTTGGATTTCCAGGAAGGTCTGTTTAATTCCAGCCTGCATTCCGGGTGATAATCACAAAACGAGCGAACAGATTCTCTCTCTCTCTCTCTCTCTCTCTCTCTCTCTCTCTCTCTCTCTCT